GGGGGTTTGGGAAAGATTAACCCAAAATGTATATGTATTTTTTAGTTTTTAGCAGTTTGGAGCAAATTGCTAAGTTATTAAATAATATTTTTGGTGTTTTGATTAAATATAAAATGTTAAACATGCGAATTTCTTAAAATTTTGTCGAATTCGTCAAATAATCAAATTACAACAACAACACGACAACAACAACAAGAACAACAACAACATGAATAATAATAATAATAATAATAATAATAATAATAATAATAATAATAATAATAATAATAATAATAATAATAATAATAATAATAAGTGTGAACTAAACAAAACTATATACAAAATAAAACTAAAATTAACAAAAAAAAAAAAAAAAAAGACAAAGGGGAGCCACGGGCTCCCTTTGTAAATGAAGTCATTATTTTGATCCCACATTGAAAATGTTTGAAAAGATGAGCTCTTGAGCTCCTTTTATATAAGAAAATCTATATCAGAGTAGAAATGGGGGAGAATTCATTACTTTTGAGGTCAAAACGCCATGGTGGCAGAGAGAGAAGGGGTGGAGAGCATCTGCAAACCAATAGAGAAAATGAATTACTCTGATATGCTTATTTTTTTATATATTTTTTAAAAAAATCAATTTTGATTTTCCAATTTTTATTTTTTTCCCGTCCCCTCCCACATTATTCTCTTTCCTACTCACTCTTACATCCTCTAATATCCCCAACTGATAAAGATGCTCTAAGAGATACAAACATAATTGTTTGCCCATCAATATTGAGGTACAAACATAATTGTTTGCCCATCAATATTGAGGTACAAACATAATTGTTTGTCCATCAATGTTGCAAGTATTGAGAAGTCAAAAGGTTCTTATTTAAGAAACCTTAGCTTTGTCTTTTTATTTTAGTTTTTATTTATCTATTCATTATTTATTATTTATTATTAGTGGGGGTTGGGAAAGATTAATCCAAAATGTATGTGTTGTTTTAGTTTTTAGCAGTTTAGATTAAATTATTGAGTTATTAAATAATATTTTTGGTGTTTTGATTAAAGATAAATTGTTAAAATGACGAATTTGTTAAAATTTTGGTGAATTTGTCAATCTCAATTTTTTTTAAATCGTCAATAATAATAATAATAATAATAATAATAATAATAATAATAATAATAATAATAATAATAATAATAACAACGACAACAACAACAACAACAACAATAATAATAATAATAATAATCATCATCATCATCATCCAAACAAAACGATAGACAAAATAATATTAAAATTAGAAAAAAAAATAAGAAGAATGATGTCGAATCATTTTGATCTCACATTGAAAATGTTTGGAAAGAGGAGCTCTTGAAAATGATTACAAACATAATTGTTTGCCCATTAAGTAGTGAGAAGTTAAAAGGTTTTTTTTTTTTTTTTTTTTTTTTTTTTTTTTAAGAAGTAAAGGAAAATTAAAAGTAGAAAAGAAATATTTCAATAATAATATTTTACATCATCAATTAGTAAAGGCATATTTAAAAAAATAGTACATATAAATTAAAAATGAAACGAAAATATTTCATTAATAATATTCTACATCATCAAATTAAATGTAACAAAAATTAGGTTAAAATATCACTACATCTATATTCTAATTGACTAATTAACTGGAAAAAAAAATTGACTGAAAATGAATCTAATATTACTAATTGACTGAAAATATAAAAGGAAATGAATATTAATAACTGACTGCAAATAAAAAATGATCCATAATTGAAAAAAAAAAAGAAATGATAAGATCATTGCATTTTAATTAAAAATGGAATGAAAATTAAAAATTAGAGGAAAATATTTCAATAATAATATTCTACATTATCAATAGTAAATGCATATTTTAAACAATAGTAAATGTAAATTAAAAATGAAACGAAAATATTTCAATAATAATATCTACATCATTAATTAAAATGGAACGAAAATTAGGTAAAAATATCACTGCATTTGATATTCTAATTGACTAATTGACTGAAAATAAAAATGAATAATTGGCTGAAAATGAATTTGATATCACTAATTGACTGAAAATATAAAAGGATAATTAATTGAGTAATATTCTACCATTATATATTTTAACTCAAGTAACCCGTCCTGATGGATTGAAGGTGTTAGCTCTAGACGAAGATGAACAAGATTGTGTTGTCACTACCAATGTCGTCTACAAAGAGATTTCAATAATGTGTAAATATAATCGGTGATATTAAGTTTTTTTTTTAAATGAAAGAATTGCTATATATATTCATATATATATATATATATATATATATATATATATATATATATATATATATATATATATATATATATATATATATATATATATATATATATAGACAAAAAAATATATCTTCCATACAAATGAATAAAGATACCAATTCATTTCTATAACTGAGTTGTTAGAGAACGAGGACATTTGCCTAATTTATGAAAATACTAAATAATGATAAATAAAATCTTCTAAAGTTATAGCACCGTATGCGTACATCTAGACATTAGCTATTAATTTGAGCAATTATTTACACAATTTCAAGCAATGATAACATCAAAATATATAAACGATCCAAACAATATCTTTAATTGCACTATATAATATTTGATGTTCTAATTTAAATAATTATATATCGATTCATATATTCTTAATATATTACAACAAATCCATTCCGTGCATCGCACGGGTGCAAATACTAGTATTAATAATTAAGAAATTTCGGTAATTATGACATTGACCTCTCAAATGGGTTGCACTGTTGCACTTATTAGCATTGACTAATTTCATAGTTGCATGACCAAATGCACCTAATCTAACAATTATTTTCATGCAATTAATAATATTTGGAGAAGGTACAACTTTACTAAAAAGTCAAAGTGGATTTATAGACTTCAGCCTATTTATTTCTTGAAAAAATGATAAGTGTACTGCAAGAAAGTAAACTCTAGCCATTTGTTGGAACTTTAGTGCATAAACATAAAACAAATTAATGAAAATTATGGCCAATATATTTTTTTTTTTTTGATAAATCAAAGTATGTCACGTCAACATGAAATACAAAATGGAGTAAAAAGTCTGAATAGAATATATATGCACCTCTTTTAGTAGTAGTCTAACGATTTTAGTTGGATTAAAGTAATTTTATATTCTTTTTAAGTGAGGAGATAAATTCTTTATATTTACATACTTAAAGTAATTAGTAGGTTAATGAATTAATAAACTAATTCTCAAAGCTAGTATACCCATGGAGTGTGAACGATGGTATGTTGGCTTTACAAATCTAATACACCCTATCAATTAAAAAGCTCTTAAATAATAACTAAATTAAATTTCAAATATGAACACACTACATATATATTATGTATTGTAGTCTATTAATTTTGGAGTCTCCACTTAAAAGGACTCAACCATTTAGTTTTGTTAATATTACTGATATTATCTGATCTAAATTTGAACTCGAAGACTTTAACTAAAATAAAATCAACTTTTTAAAATTTGAACAAACCTAATAATCTTGTGCAAAAGTATACGTAGAATGATGGCCGTGCATTTAATTTTATATAGTCATAATAATGATTTGCAGCCTTATTTATTTATCCATCCGTCCACCTACTAACCGACCGACCTTTCAGTCCAATTAAAATTTCTATGAACAAAAGAAGAAAAAAAAAACACTAAGAAGTGGCAAATTAATTAATAATTCGACCAAATCTTTTGTCTATCAATTGAATTGTGACACTTGAATAAAGTTTGATGCTTCCATCAAATTTTATCATGCATGTCGAGTAATATATGGATTAAATTTAGTCAATTAATAAAAATTTAATGTTGATATTAATATTTTTGTGAGTTGTTATTGGTCTACCTCCTTGCCGGCTAGGGTCATCACAAGACGAGTTCACTCCAGATTGCACATAAGTTCTATTTTTTGACCTTAACACAAGGTTTTTTGCTCAACATAATTATGTCACCATTCTTAATTGTGATGAAACTCGAACTTATGACATTCTATTACAATACATTATTAAACTTGGTATTATTATAAATAGTTTCTAATGGTAAATGATATTATTGAAAAAATCACAATACTAGATACAATCTATGATTATACTTCGTGTTGTTGGAAATGACTTCTAATAGTACCAAATACAATTAGATACTAATGCAAATCATTTCAATATTATATAAAATGCCATTGTTGCCGATCCACAAAATAAATGTTCGCTAATATTATAATCACACAATATAAATATTAAATATAAATTATATATTGGTGTTATAGTATAAGTTAAATCTATAAATATTTATATTGTAAATTTTACTCCTAGTTATGTATCGAATATTTAGGAATCTAGTTTTTTTTTTTTTTTTTTTTTTTTTTTTTTTTTTTTTTTTTTTAATTTAGTCAAAGACATTCAATGTATGCTCTATACTTGTATATAAACCTTGAAAAAGGGATTGTAAAAAGTTTACAAATTTCAATACACAATGCAATATAGATTTTGTTACCGATTCTCCATTTTTTATTTATTTATTTATTTATTAATATTTATACATTTGTTCTTCCGTGATTTAGGCTAGCTAGCAGCTGACATCTATCTGTCTAAAATTCTTAACTAGTTTGATAATCAAAAAATTCATAATTTGATTTCTTTTAAAATTGTTTATTGATTTTCTTTATTTAAATTGACATTTATAAGCAATTTATAAACTAATTTTACATTTTTAGTTATATGAATTTCTTTTACCTAAAATGTATTTTTGAATACTTTTTTTTTGAAAGTATGTATTTTTGAATACTAATTGTTCGGTTTTTCATAAATGAAAGATTAGGTGCATATTTGTTAAGAATTTGAATTGAATTGATGATTGAATATAGTGAATAATTTAGAATTTAGAATGTAGTCCAGCAAGAATAGGGCGCTGTGTCGGTGCTTTAAGATTTTGTTTTATCGTGTACTATAAATATTCAAAGTTTTCTTTTCCAACCCAGCTTTTGGATGGCTATGGCTATTCTTCTCTCTCTCCATGATTCCCCCATGAAGGATTTGTAATCAAATTATTTACAGGCCCCTTATATATATACATACATACATATAAGAGTTTAGAGAGAGAGAGTGATGGAGGGCCAAGGCGGCGGAGACGACGGTGGGTGTTGCTCCGGGAAGAGAAAGAAGGAGAGACCCTACAAAGGAATTCGGATGCGGAAGTGGGGGAAATGGGTCGCGGAAATCCGGGAGCCAAACAAGCGGTCGAGGATATGGTTAGGCTCTTACTCGACGCCGCTCGCGGCGGCGAGGGCCTACGACACCGCCGTCTACTACCTCCGCGGCCCGTCGGCCCGGCTCAATTTCCCCGAGCTGTTGGCCGGCGACGCCGCCGGGGGGCTTAACGACTTATCGGCGGATTCGATCCGTAAGAAGGCAATCGAAGTGGGTGCCAGCGTTGACGCAACTCAGACCTCCCTGCGTGGCGGCGCCGTCCAGGAACAACCGCCGCCGCCGCCGCCGCCGCCACCGTTGACGGCTTGCCGGCTTCAGGCGAAGCTCGACTTGAACGAAAAGCCCGAGCCCGAAGACCCGAATCTTGATTACTTCTGAGCTTCACAAAAGACAAAATCTCTCGTTTCGGGGGTCCCACATCTCAGCCCGACAAGATAGTGGAGAGCTCATCTTCTTCCTCCTCTTAATAAGTTTTGTTTTCCTTGTTTGAGTTTTAGGTTGGAAAAAAAAAACATTTTTGTTGCCTCAAAATTGTAGTAAAATGAATATAATGAATGTGAATATGTTATATCTCTCTTTCTCTCCAATTTTCTTTTATTTATTTATAAATAAGAAAAAAATGAAATGAATTATTTGCAGAAAATTGAATGATTCATATGGCGTGGATGAATGAAATCTGAGTATAGCGGATGAGAACGAGGGGAACACGATGGGACCGACATGGCCATTCTTATGTTTTTTCCGCCGCAACTAGCTTAGGTTTTGTTTGGGAGGACGGTGACTGAGAGTTTGGAAAAATGATAGTATCTAACTAAATGATGACGTTTAAAGTAGGGGTATTTGTGTATTTATAAAATTACCAGTGAGTTCGACATAAAAGAATAGTAAATAATCATTGAAAATATTTATATAATAAATAAATAAAAGAAAAATCATGAAATAAATTTCTGAACATTATTTAAGAAGTCAATTAGCCTCATAAAGTTTTAAAAGTTGTAATTAATTTTTTAAACATATTATTTTAGAATAATGAGATCCAAAAATCAATTGGTGACTTGAAATTACAGTATTAAGATTCCGGCGAACCTCCGACAAAATTCTGACTTTCGGCAAAAAACACTGACGAAATGGTCGCCTGTATCGTTTGGTAGCCTTCTCCAGCAAAGGAGAAAGTAGACCATCTGGTTTGGTCTGCCTTCCCCAGCGAAGGAAAGGCGACCCTCCTGTGAAAGAGAAGGAGAAGGTGACCCATTTGGTCGCCTTCTCTAGCAACTGGAGAAGGCATGCCAAACTAGTTGGTCTGCCTTCTCCTTCGCTGGAGAAGGCGAAGGCAACTAAACAACATCGGCAACTGTTTCGTCATTATTTTTTGCTGAAATATGGTCAGAATTTTGTTAGAGGTTCGTCGAAACTCTAGTGACTTGTAATTATAAGTTATCAATTGGCTTTTGGGTCTCAATGCACTAGAATAGTATGTTTAAGAGCTTAATTGTAACATTTGAAAGTTTAAACACCTAATTGATTTCTTGAGTAATGTTTAGGAGTCTATTTGACCCCCTTTCCATAAATAAATAATTTTGATATATTTGGTGTATTGGCAAATTTTATTGTGGACTGCGGAGGGTCAACATGGACCAAGTCAAAACGATGTAGTTTTAAACTTTTCAGTTAATAATGGTAGATGACAAATTCAATTATGGTCAATGTAGCAACCTTTTTCATTATTCAGTTTTATTTTATACATACTATAGTTTCATTAGAGCATTTCATTTTATACATACTATAGTTTCATTAGAGCACTACTACAATATCATTCTAATTCAACTACAATTTCATTACTACAATATCATCCTAATTCAACTACAATTTAATTTAGCAATATATATATATACAGATTCAGTTACATTTTATACATAATATAGTTTCATTACAACATCGCTAAATTATCATTATTATTCAACTACCGTTTCATTTGACATTATACACTCAATATGTGAGATTTGCTATTCAATTTTCATTTTATACACATTCTAGTTTCATTTCAACACCAACAAAGTATCGTTATAATTAAACTACAATTTCATTTAACAATATTTTCATTTTATACACATTCTACTTTCATTACAACACTACCAAAATATCATTATAATTAAACTATAGTTTCATTTAACAACATACATTCAATATATGACACAACAATTGCCATTTTATGAACTTGTTGAGTTTTATATTGGGACGTTAGAATTAAATACTCAATTAATGTAGTTACATGCCTTTCTAAAAGTTTCTCTATTTTAAGCCAATATATCACTGCTGGAAATTATGGAATTTCTGACCACTTGAAAATGATTTTAAATCAAGTCAAAAGTCTTGTTCCGATCACTTTTGGTATCCGGAAAAACCTTTGTTGCTATTTCCGACCACTTTTTACTTTCGACTTGATATAAGATCACTTTCACGTGGTCGGAAATTCTATAATTTCGAAATTTTCAGCAGTGATATGAGCACTTGTTGAATATCTGTGATACAACATTCAAGCTAAACCCTAACTTCACCAGCTACAAAAGCTAGCTCATGAGTAGAGATTTGTCCCCAACTTAAGTATCACTCCACAATTACTTTTGGAGTTGTGCAGAATTGTATTATTGCTCATCCCTTGAGAAGCTAACATCTATAACAGTTTACTCTAAACGGCTCACTCTAGACTTTTTGTTGGCACCAGGTAGTTTATTTCCCCTTTGGATGATTTCACTCCGGATTTTATCAAGCACTAGGTAGTCCTTTCCTAGGTCACTCCCTCTGCTAGGCCGACTTTGGATGAGTGAACGACTTCACTCTGGATAGTTTTTACTCTGGACACTTCTTGGTTCTCTTTGAACCTTATCAAGTACCAAGTAACTCTCTTACAGGTAGTCTTTTCTTACTACATTCCGACCTCTCAACAAGGCCAGGGCATCAAAGGATGCTGCACTCAAGTAAAAAAACTCCAACTCCTCCACAAAAACTAACTCATAACTTATGAGTAGAGATTTAACCATATTACAATTTAAATACCACTCCACAATTTGAAATGACATTCCTATTGCGTTGGTGTGGTGATCATCTACCAGTGTCATGTGTCTAGAGCATGCATATCTTGTCACCAACTGTTGTTGGTTTGGGCCATTTTGCAAGTCTCATAGAAATTGAATAAGTTTTTCACTATTGGTCCGTCATGTTGAAGGTATTTTCTATAACCCCCAACAAAGCCCTTTTGGCCTTTTGGGTTATGTGAAAATTTGAATTAGTCCTCACTTAAGAAGATTATATTCTCATTTGAATCATACACACACTATGACTTGAGAAAATTAGGAATCACTCAGAGTGCAACTAATAACACCATAAAATGTACCTATCATATGTATAAGTGCAATGAGCAAATGTATTTTGTAACTTTGTTTAGTTACATTCTATAGTGTTGATAGTTACACTTTAAAATTTGAGTTATTTACAAAATGACATCGTGTTGCAACAAATGCACTTTGTAATTTTGCTTAGTTGTACTCTATAGCATTAAAAGTTACACTTTATATGTTATACCAGTTGCACTTTGGAATTTGAGTTATTATTACAAAAATGTCATTACATTTTTTTTCCTCTAATTTCTTTATATCCATTAGATATTTCTAAATAGACGCCTCTTATTGATTCCTAGTTCTCTCATTATACTAGTCACAACTAAGTATATATCTCATTATGATAGTAATCTACCATATTATGTTCCTTTTCCAAACCTTTTTTTTTTTGTGTTAAATATTAAGTATGCATTTATTTCAATTAAAAGTTTTAATTGATAATAAAATTATCTATTTACGAAAAATTATTTTACAAGATTTTGTTGGGGTGCCAATTGGCAATAATATCTAGTATAACTAACTATATATACTTAGTTGTGCGTACTATTATTGGCATATGTGTTAACAATGCCCCCAAACAATAAATATATATATATATATATATATATATATATATATATATATATATATATATATATATATATATATATATATATATATATATATATATATATATATATATATACATTCTTCTAAAAGGTTGAATCCCAATCCTAAGTGTCCCCTACACCTCGACCCGACAGAGCATCTGGGAAGATGTAAATCATGGTAACTCAACTAAATATGAACCATGGAGACTAAACCTTTGGTTACTGCGCACAAGGAGCTGACACCTAAAAATACCTCTTATTTTATATATTGGAAAAAAATATTTTTGATCCATAAATTATTTACAATTAGCCATTTTAGTCGCCTTTAAAAGTTGCAATATGTATTCTTTGCTTTGTAAATGTCTTTTTGTATTTAATTATGTCATAAACTTTGATAATTTTACCTGATTGAGTCATTAGCTACTAGGAAAACCATTCTATTATAATTTAGAAAAGTCGAATACTTGATCCGTTACCATCCCAACCAATCCTACCAACCTTAGGCCCTTAGTATCTAAAATAAAATCATATTGTCCATTTCACAAAAGATTGGCCCAAAAATCGTGAGCACAACTCTTTTCAATGCTTCGTACTATGCCTATTAAAATTTGGGCTTGGGCTTCCGAATCATTGAAGCCCAAATTTCATGAGGAATACTAATTAATTAATTAGCACCTATCTCTTGCTCTATTACTTTTTGGAGTGTCCAATCTTAAGTCATATTGTGTTTATTTTAAAAGAAGTTTTTATTTTTTTTAATGTACCACTGCTTCTGTCACAATGCAGTCTCTGTTCATAAAAGAATTATATAAAAGAGATTTTCAAAAAATATATAATTCTCAAACATTTTCAGCTAAAGAATCTAAGCCCCCATCACCGAGGTTTGAACCTATAACCATCCAAACATTTGGATGGGTAATCCAAGATGCCATCACACTACATGGTAATTCATAGTTGGCAAAAAAAAAAAAAAAGAGGCTAATTTTGAAAAATAAAACTTTTATTAAAATGTCTAATCTTTAATTTTCAAAATATAACTTTCAAATGTGCTTCAAATTAAACCTGAGTGGCTTAAGCATAGGACTGAAAGTTCGGACCTATGCATATGTCTTTGGCAAATGGTTTCCAAATAGAGTATGACCGAGACTCGATAGCCTGATAGGATTAGCCAAATTCATTGCAATACATATACCGATGTAGTACGTCTAAAAGAAAATATATTCAATCCAACTTATAACTTTTTTTAATAGTCTAATAGATAAGACATAATAAGTTACAAGCCAAACAAGCACATGTTTTTTAACATTAACAATTTTATATGATTTTAGGATATAATAGTTTTTCACATGTAAAAATAATTTAATTGGTTCCTAAGTGAAAAATTGTGAACAAGAACAAAGGTAAGAACTTTTCATTTTTATAACGAGTTAATACTTAAAATGGTCATCGACTATAATGATTTTTCTCAAATTCGTCCTAAACAATTTTGGTAATCTAATGTAGTCTCAGAATTTTATGTTTCTTCTTAATTTAGTCATCCGTTTGTTATTCCGTCCATTTCGTGTTAAATAGATAGACAATTCAGTAATTTCAATGTTGTCA